TTTTTTCTTAATGCAATTATAAGTAAGCAACATTCAGAATATATATGTAACAATTATCACACTTGATACATCGTAGTGAAATCTATCTTGTCGTCTTGACAAATGTGTGTATATTTGTTTGTGGACCTTTAACAGTGCTGGAGAGGGTACACATTTGCACCCATCTTAGTGTCATGAAGAGTTTACTTCCTTATCTCTGTAGTGGCGATGCTCTTCATAGTAAATTTTTTAATATCATTCAACTAGAAAAGAGACATTTTCATAAATTAACCAAGGCTTATAAACACGTCCTGAAATAATGAAAATGTACAGCGTATTTAATTTTTTTGTTTATTTTTATTGACTTGTAGATTGAGTGTTATGTTGCCAAATACTATTATTTGCAGACAGATATGGAGTGGTAGAGTGCGATAATGGTGGAGTCGTTAGTGTCGACACGTCAAAGTCATACTATCATTTTTTATTTATTCTCTTCAAATTGAGCGTTGGTTTGTGTTTACACTTGTTTATTTAAGTGAAAATGCTGTTAATTGTATTTTCTGCTAAACCCGCTTTATATATTCCCGTTTAACTGAAGAAGTACAGTAAGTAGATGCTTTGATTTTTGAAGTAATAAGAAGCGGTGCAATATTTACCGGACAGCAATTAGCGGCTATTAATGACATTACGCCTAAATGCACACGCTTCCTGAATAAGACGGTCGCCCCCTGCCAGGTTGAGAGATCGGGACACGCTCTCCTGCCACGCGACTGGCTAAATATCCATTGTTAAACGATCCTCCTACTTCCATTGTTCAAAAAGTGGGCGGTAGGCTTGGTCACGGTGAAGAGTAACCGTGTTCGTAGACACGATCACGGTAGTGAGAACAGATTAAAAAGCCTAGCTGTATGGCTACCCCATGTGCCAGTGTACTTAAATGACAGGGGTGACACTTTTTTTTGCTAGGGGAGTATACATGGATAATACAAACACAATTATTGCTGGACACATATTCTTCCAACACATCATTTATTTTTTTAGATTTTCGAAGGAACATATCGGAAAGGCATACGGAATTCAAGTTTCCGTCGCTAATATATTAACTTTTGTTCAATTACCGATATTCTCTTGGTACAAGTACAGCCTGGAAAGTGACCCTCTCTGGGTAGGTATAGGAGCCTTTGTAGCCTTTTACCAATGATTATCGAATTCATGTCTACATTCAAAGTTTTTTGTTTTTTTATGTTGTAATCTCTTAAGAGAATATTACAGAGCATAGTCATCTATGGAGGTCACGTGGTCTGATGACAAGCTCAGACATCAGAATAATAGCTATAACTGCCTTTTTTATGGTAAAACAGAATATATTATATTTCTTTGAGTTGTTTCCAATGTTTTTTATTGTGAAATATAGTTCTCATACGAAGAGTTATCATCCCTTTTACTCCTATAAGCTTAACCATTTCGGTTTTTAGTTTTGGAAAATAAGTCGAGGCACTGAAGACTACTTTGCCCAGCTAACAGTTGACTTAAGACCATTTTTATTTTGATATCTTTCAGGGTCACATTTTTCCATGAAATCATGAAGAATGGCACAATTACATGTACATTTACAAATATATGATGAGGACACCTCTCCGTGATATATTATTATTATTATTATTATTATTATTATTATTATTATTTGTTTTTGTTTTTGCAGTTGGGAGTTCTGTTCCTGGGAATATGTCTCACCGCCAGCTGTTTGCCTGTCTACCTTCTTTGGCGTCGGTGTCGCTCCACAAGGAAAAACAGCTATACTCTGTAGATAATCGCCAAAATATGAGTCAGGTGATGACCTTGCGGTATCTGTTGTATTGCTGGAATTTTGTTTTGGCGACTGGACAAAAACTATTCAACAATGTATCTGGAGAAAAACAGTATATTGGGAAAAATCGTGCCCTGTTAGAAGCAGACCTGCGTGCTCGGCAGTCACTGTACTAAATTGTTTCTTACTGCTAACGTTGTTTAATAGTCCTGGCAGTCCTAGCAATACGACGTTACCAATGGAAACGACAAAATATTTGTCACTGACAGTTGAGAAGTGGCATTTGAATTTTGACAGATGCTGTAGCAACAGAACCGATTCTTCCATTCTTTGTCAAGACTTTCGTGAGCAGAAACGACGCTTCACAAGTATGTTACGTGTTTTACCACCTCCAGTCGTTGGCGCTGATACATATAAGGGAAACAGTTCTTGAGACAATGGCGGTGATGCCTAGGCCTCTAGCTGCTAAATTAAAGTATCATTGACTGAAGATGTGCCTTTGAAAACGCTAAAATTGCAGAGTCATCTGCGTTTTGTAGTCCTTTGCAGTTTTGCATCCAGTCTTAAATATTGCTTTTATTATTTCATTCACTAACTGAGGATATATTAACTGAGGATATAGTAACATAATAAAGATCGCTTCAAACCATTTCCAGTTCTGAGTGTACTTTATTTTTATACATTTCGACTGCTAATCACACTAAATGTGCCATTTTTTCGAAAGTTGTCAATAAAAAGTCCAACTTATTCTCCTTGTTTCATGTTAAATATTCTGAAACTTGGTTCAATTAACAATACCTTACTTTAAAAAAGTGGAAATGAAAAAAATCAGAGTATACCCGAAAAACATTCTGCTTAAAAAGTATTTCAATATTAGATTCCCATTTAATTTTACAGCATCATCTCTACGGATATTATCAATAATAGGTACAAATACATAACATACCATTTGTGGTAGATAAAGTAAAAACATATAGCACTTAAATTTCATCATTATGTCTGAGACAGATCTGGAACTTTGCACAAAATAAATCATATAAATTAAACAGAAACAAAATGTATTTAGAAAAAAAAAATGAGCATTCAAAAATTTAATGTAAGCATCTTTTGAATGAAATAGGAAATCGGAAAACTGAATAAATTGCGTCTGCGTGCTCTCCCTGTTTAAGCCCACTGTACAAGCCTCGCTATCCTGGAAGTGTTGCAATCGAGCATTTTCTTTCCTCCACCTGAACCGCTCTTCATGACACTAGATTTGCACACAAGTCAGGTAGAGAGGTTACACACCCTTTATGACTACACCTGAGGTCTTCTAGGAAGGATGTCCCGGTTGACGGGAGATCTAAAGGCAATATCGATATAGTGGCAACACAGTGATCTGTAGTCTCACTCATTTTAAGTAGAACCAGGGGATTCTTTAGACAACAAGCTACGGCCCAGCTACGACCGACATACCAGGGTATATCTCCAACAAGGCAGGCGTAGATTTATGACATAGTTAAGTCTTACGTTAACTCCAGCTGGGTACAAATGCTTAGCGAACTGAAGTATCGTTTTACACTAGAGTAACTTGCACGTAACTGCCACGTCTTGGCGACGTTTGATGCTACCGGGTCCAAGTGAATGAGCGGGCAACTATCAGCCCTGGTGACTTCGAGGCCAGGACAGTGACTCCTTAGAATTTGTACAGGACGGTCGACATGGCACAATCCACGTGTTGGAAGCTATTGTGTACCGTTCTGGGTATCTTGGAGGCTGCTGTCTACTCTGTCACGGTCTTCGGATGGCCAGCATTTGTTTTCATATTCGTAGAGGAAGGATTTTACGGTGATTGGTGTTATTTTGATTCTGTTACCAATAGTTCTGATTGTAACGGACTACCTACTAGTAACTGCACCCAAGAAGCAGCTGAAGACGCCCGAGTTCATAAGTGCACCGAGCAGGAAGAGGCGCTCACCCTTGTATACACGATCGCTGTTATCGGTGTGGTATCTTTACCAGTGCTTGGATATATCTATGATCACTGCGGGACCGTTTGTGTGAGGATTGTATGTATGTAAGTATATACTGAGGGCAACGGCTTTTTGCTGACTCGTTATATGATAATTTTAAGATGATGAGTCATACTGAATATATATAATCTCTGAGGCAATAATAATTAATACAGACAACAAATTGTTACTTTAAATTGTTTAAATGATTAGAATAGTGGGGTCATATAATAAAAGCGGTCTTTTTTGCCAATTCTCGAACAATCAGTATTCTTTATTGCCTTCTTTCTTGTTGTGAATGGGGCTATGAAAGTTTATGGTGCACTGGGATGGAGGAGACATAAAGGTCGCCTATATGGGTTACGTACAATGTATAGCGGATTGCGTAAGATTATGTAAGATTAGCTTGCCGGTCACGTTCAAATGAAAAATAAGCATTTGTCTTCTTTGCACTCCGACCTATTTCTCTCTTTTTATGAATATAGTAAAAAATGCCAAAACAAGTTGCATTCTTGCATACTTGATGTGAATGGAATTGTAATGGAATGACTGTAGCATTTAATTAATATTTGGAGTCGTTCTTTAAGATGCCTATGCGCTGGTGGATTCTTCTTGATGGCGTTAGCAGAAAGAGGTATGCAAACTACACGAGACCTTTCCTGTAAATATCTCAAACTGTACGCTAACAAATAAAACCAAAACTTGCGGAAGATAAGTAGTACTCAATGCACGGTTTCAGATATCATATCTGCAATATGTAAGACGTAAACGTTCGGTTCACGCGTAACTGGCGTTGATAAGAAAATGAGGGCTCAAAGAATGCATCAGTGCCATGGTCACTCGCTAAACACTTGCACTCGATACAATTTTGTTAAAATTGAAATAAAATAAGTACATGCAAAGACAACGTACTAAATATTCACGTTCGACTTAAACGTATCCGCAAATTTGGAAACTTTGGTGACCATGTAGCCACATTTATAACAGATAATGTCGCGGCGATAGAAAAAGCCACGATAGCTCCCTACATGTTCATTAATGAAAATATATGAACGTAATGTACGGCACACACAAAAGGAGAATTAATGTTTACCTATTACACTTTTAATATAGAATTGTAAACTGTTTTTAATTTAATTTAACTTATTTATTTATTTATTTATTTATTCATTTATTTTAGGAACAGAATGGCTGTTATTTCCCGGGGCTGTATTTCAGGTGCTTGGAGGTCTACAGTTAGCTGTAACTGACGTCCAAGTGGCCGGACTATTTCCTAAGGCACAAGCAACGCTCACCTGTTTGGTTTCCGGTGCTATGGGTATAAGCGCCTTTGTACCTGTTTTGTTAAAGGTAAGTTCTCCTATATAACCTTGCACACATACAGGCACATGGACAAACACGCACACACAGACATACGAATACGAAAGCCTCACAGCTTTTAAACCACAAACTTGGAAGAATAATTATGCAAACGTAATTTTGTAAGGAACACAATTGTTATAGCAACTTTATAAACGATGATGAAGAAAAAGCCTCTGTCAAATGTTAGATAATTTGCATGGATAATTCATCAGAATTAATACGCGCAAGATGACCATGAAAGAGAATGAATTGATAATGAATGAATAAAGTAATAAAATAATGCACTGCAGCGACATATGGCAATTTTCGATGAACCTGATTGGGTCGTAAAAGATGAAGAAGACCTTGCTGAAATACTGCTATTTAAATAAGTTTTAAGTTAGAACTTAATCGACGAAGTGTGTAACTGCGCAAAAATCTTTTCTAGTTGACATACCAAGCTGGAGTGTCATACAAAACGTGCATGTTTACCTTTACCGGCATCATACTTCTTGTGTCTTCTGTCAACACAATCACCCTTCCTCCAAGAAGAGATGACGAGGGGAAAAACATTGATATCGCTTGTTGCTTAAAGAAACACAAAGGATACAGCAGTACTGGAAAATCACCAACATCATGCAAAGAAAGTAGTACAAACGTCCACAGCCAGAACATCCAGGCTGATGGTGATGGATTTGTATCTAACGATGAGGTTAACGAACTTCATATTAATCGCCAGGGCTTCCCAAGCGCACCAAACACACCAGATGACACAAATAAACTATCAAAAACGGAACCCGCCCATGATGTCGATAATAACACTTGGCAACAACACAAAAACGATGTCAATCCCGTGCAGTCATGTGAAGACAGACGTATGCACTTGGTCCCCAACGTAGAAAACGCTGAAGATGACAAAGGCACTAACACCAGCTTACTCCAAGGCTCGGTACTGATTCTCAAAAGTCCTTCTTTTTGGGTGCTGATGCTGTGGTTTTTGTGCCAGGAAACCCTTATGGTCACATACCTAGGCAGTTTTTACTCTGTGATCAATTACTACGGAAACAATGTGAAAAGTACAGGTAATTCATTTACGTATGTATCACTTTAATCCTGTCACACTGAGCTTGCGACCACTTAAATAAAAAACGGTGGACAACTCTAACAAACATTTATTAATATTGTTTTTTTTTTAATAATAAATGTTCATCTTATTATAACCTTATAATATTACAGTAAGTACGTATACGGACGCATTTTCCTGGCTTCAAATGGGTTCCCTTTTTTTGGCCTTCTTGACTGGTTTGATGTTGGATAAACTCCTTTCTAGGGCAACTAAAGACGGTAATTATATATGATGGTGATATTTACTGATCTATGAGTGAAACAGAGTTTGTATGATTATATACTACTGTTTTTCGTTCGCCTGTCACTTTTAAGTGTTAAAACAGTAATCTAAATGTCTAAAATACACTATTTTAGCTGTGTATCACGGATATATTATGTTAACTAGTAAAGTCATTGACGTTCCTTAATATAAATGGATTATGCAGTCTAGTTTTAATACAAATGGTCCCAGTAAAAAGCGGCCTTGCAAATGATGCTAATTCGTAAAACGGATATGAGGCTACGAGGTCGTCATATCCCTGAAGATTGCAGTCAGGTATGATTGAGTTTCATAGTACACATTTCATCATGCGTTTTACATTTTAGACAAAGAACAATGCTTCATGGTTCCATTTGCCCTGACTGTTTTGGCAGCGATCGTCGTCTCCATAGCATGTATCATCCCCATTATCGAGATGCAGTTTGTGGCCATTTTGTTTCACTCTCTGTTGAAAACCGGAAGTTACGCCGTGCATTTGGCATTCATAACCACTGCGTAAGTAAATTGGTAATACAACTTGTGTGTATTTTATCGCTTTTTTTCGTGTGCCTTCACCAACTAGCATTTGCCTGATTGTTTTTGCAAAGAAAAATAGGTCAGCAATTTTCTTGATCGATGTTTACTAATGAAATCATGAAATCATAATATGCATTTAATTGCTTAAGGTACCCTGTGAAAGCAAATGCAAGTAACAGTACTCGGCATAGATAAAATGGACACAATGATCGTCAGTCTTACTGTATATTCCTCCAACACCGCATTTATATTTTAGATTTCCAAAGGAACATATCGGAAAGACATTTGGAATTCAAGTTTCCGTCGGTAATTTGTTAACTTTTGTTCAGTTCCCAATATTTTCCTGGTACAAGAACAGCCTGGAAAGTGACCCACTCTGGGTATGTATAAGAACCGTTGTTTATGTACAAACAGTTGTTGATTTCTTAAAGATAAAATACATGTAACATAAATTAACTTAGGTCTAAAGTGAATCCGTGAATCCCTATAAGCATATATTTGGGGGGGGGGGGTGGAGGAGGTCGATGAGCTTTAGACTACTTTGTCCATATAACAGTTGACTTGACACCATTCTGAGTTCAATATCAGCATAGATCACATCCGTTTCCATGTAATTAAAAATGATGGGACAATGGCGTGTGATGTGGTAACCTCTCCGTGATAGTTATCGTTATTTTTTTTTTTTATTTATTTTTTTTTTTTGTTTGTTTTGCAGTTGGGAGTGCTGTTTCTGGGAATGTGTTTCATCGCCAGCTGTCTGCCTTTTTACCTCCTCAGGCGTCGGTGTCGCTCAACGAGGTCTGACAGCTACAAGCTTTAGTTTACAGCCAGAATATTTATCAAAAGATGGCAGCACGTGAACCATGGTGTCACCGGACTAGACAAGGGTTTTGGATGTCACGACCGGGCACCAACAATTGTCAGTAGCATTTTTAGAAACACTTTTTATTGGGAAATATCGCGCCATGATCAGCCAGATTAAAGCAATGAGAGCTATGTAAAGGTAGATGGCAAACACAACGTGTTTACCCCATATTAACTTCATGTGTGTCTGAAAATGATAAATAATGATTGTTTGCCATGGCCCACTTGTCTGGTTCATTCTTCTACTAGGAGGCCAAGTGGATGACTCTCAAATTCTGTCATGCAGAGTCAGCATTTAGTATGTTATATCGTTTATATCGTTCAATTCTGTCAAGTAGATATCTGTACGTGTAAATGCCCACACTGTACAATAAACAAACCGCACCTTAAATGTTTGCGTGCCGTATTACGATATTCAGCTCGTACAGGTAAATTATGTAAATACAATTCAACATCAATTACTTATTATCATTTTTTTTTTTTTTTTGCAATCTGTGTATTGTATTGCATTCCCTGTAAATAGCCTTTACTGCTTACAGTCATTTTGAATGTGATAAATCCTCTCATTATAGTGTGATATATCATCTGCTCAGAGCAATTGTTGCAGTTGATTAATTTTGCAACTCTAAAACAAACATGGCGGATGTCACCCAAGATCGAGGACACCTGAAACTGATAAAAAACCAACAAGTGATACGTGACATAGGTTTTTCACGATTGTCGCTTTTGTTAATGTGATAAAAGGGGATCAGTCAAGTAATCAATATTCTTTGAGAAAGGGCCAAAACAGCAAACCTGACGGGTTTATTATCTTTACAAAAGATTTACTCTTTTACCAACTAGATCTTAGTCTGAATACTATATAGCCACGTCATTTATTTAATTTTATTCTGCCACTTTTTCGACTGCACAGGTGTGAAATAAAGACCTCGATACAATATACGTGGGACCAAGTCAGTGAAAAATAAAATCAGCTTTGTTTAGAATAAATCTGTCTCCATTCGTTGATTTTACGCACCACCGGACGTATTAACGCACACGCCAAAGTAAGAACAGTCAGAACAATCCGCAAGTTTGCCGGTGTGTTGATAATTCGATTTACAACTGCCCCGGACTGTGGCAGCAGGGTCTAGTGGTTGTTTGCCTCGCCAGCAGCCAAAATTTCCGCCACGACGGAGAACATTGGAAGCACTGCCAATTCCTGAAGGATAGATGAACGAAAACGAAAGAAATTACTGTTTCGTGAGTATTATTCCTAAAAAATAGATCACTCCATCACAAGTGCTAACATCAAGTAAGTCTGCAGTGTATGAGTTTTGGTTTTGATGTCATTTAAAGCTCTTTTACATACAGGTATCTCCACCGTTAAACAAAGACAAACAATTTTATTTACACGTGTAAGAGTTTTCATACTGTCTGTATGGTCTTTTGCCAATTTTAGGAACGTTTTATTCATGCAGCTTTTACATTTTATTACAACTGCGTTTTTACATCAAATTTTCATCAGAAGGCGGCGTAATTTTTTTTATTCTCAGTTTCAGTGCCCCGGCCGCATCTCTCGTTAGCACTTCAAGTGATAAAAATAAGCACAAAATCATTGCAAATTGATTAAAAAGCATTAATTTGAGCTATTTTTGGCCGCAGAAATTGGCGTCCACTTTAAAGACTGTTAACGCGGTTGATATCAACCAAGAGAGAAACATTTACCTGGTATACACTGAATGAGATCAGAACATGTTTTGCTCCACAGGTGTCTGTCGTCCGGGCCGATGTAGTACATCTGCCATCCGACAGGTGGCCTAGTCAGGGGTGATTGACGTAGTGCACCGCCGCACCACTTTGGGATAACAGTTGCATTTGCTGGGAGAAAAACACGTGCTAGGGTCATTCCATAAAACAAACAAATAAATAAAAACTGAGCCACGTTAAAGATGAACTCTTTTTGTGCAATATTTATACAATTTTGACTTGGCCAGTTAATTTAATTTGCTCTTTGGTACTAACGAACTCCATCCTCCAATACGGAAAGAAATCTTTTGTCACTGGAACATTTCATTTTACTTTATAAAGATCTCACAGTCATTATTTTGTTATAATCAGAGTAACCGAAATGAATCTAACTCACGTGATACATAAGGAAAGTAAATAGTCCCAGCACTAGTCATAGGGGTAGTAGTTGTAGTTGTGGCAGGGGTAGTAGTTGTAGATGTTGCCTTAGGGGTGGTGAAGTAAATAGTCCCAGCACTAGTCATAGTACTTGTAGTTATGAAAGGGGTTGTAGTTGTAGTTGTCGCCTTACGGGTGGTAAACTTTGACGCCGCTACCTGTCCCGCTTGCTCAGCCTTGCACTGAGCGTAAAGCTGCTTCAGATGGGATAGAGATACACTGGCCAGCTGAATCTCCAGGTCAAGATTGGTGTCCACTTGACGTCGTCCTACTAACGTCCAGTCTGTGACGGACATTCCTTTATAAAATAGGAAGCAAACCAAAGTGGTGAGAGAGAGAGAGAGAGAGAGAGAGAGAGAGAGAGAGGTGGCTACCGGAGTGTACATCATTAGACCCTAGATGATTGTTCACCAAAATTGAAAATGATATGTTATCTATACTTCTGATTTCCTTTTGATACTATTTATACGTCTAATCAGAAACTGCAATTCATATAACGCTACACATATGGCTGGAAGTGAACATGAACAATGTACATTTATTCCGTTTTTACATATAGAATTGAAAAGAAGATTAAGATAAAGGACTAAATAATATTTTTCAGTCAAACCTAGCAGCTATACACAGTACCTTCTACTTTCTTAGGACAGGACTCGGCGATCATTGTCTCCATCAACTGAATTTCATAACGCATTCGGTAAACTTTCACTATTTTGGAACCATCTTGTTGAACGGCCAAACCGTGCCCTAATATGGCCAGCCCTACACAAAAGCCTAAAAGAACGGACATTGTCGTCTGCGTCGTAGGTTGGTATCAATAGAAGTATGGTCCGGTTTTGTGGCCAAAAATTGTAAGCTAAGTTGTGCAGTAGATAAATGTCACGCGCAATGTTCGCCACCTGTCGGGTCCCAGAAATAACTAGGTCACGCAGTGGTTTAGGGATTTATTGAATTCTTCAGTATTCCTATTTTCTCTCAGTATTCTATGCTACATTACTGCAAAAAAAAAAAAAAAAAAAAAAAAAAATTGAGAAGGCGACCCTAATCTTAAAGGGCATTTCAGGTGAAATGATAATCGAAGGAATGATCTGGTATATTCCTGTTCTGATCATAAAGAATAATGTTTACTAACAGTCAGTGAAAACGCATCATTTATTTATCAAATAATATTCGAAGTCCCTTTGACAAATTTAGCAAATAACAGTTTTCGTGTGAAATATGTGAAATGTGAAATAGTGGTCAGCCCACTCTCTTATGACCAAACAAGTGCATTTGTACTCGTTTATATGGTTGGAATCGATTTTCGGTAAAAAAGTACAAGAAACTTTTCAGGTGTGTTTTCATTGACTGTCAGTATATAAACGCAAAAAAAGGAAACAATGAATAAGCAATCTATTACTATTGATTTCGATTTACGGGCGTGCTTTTCATTTCATTAAAAAAAATTCATAAAATATACGATATCGTTATAAAAAATTATAGCCTCAAACTATACTTGCACAATTGCATCGATAGGATATAAAATTCGATGTGTATATAAGGTCTTAAGCTGTTCGTGTTAAACAAACTGCATCAGATCCAACTGGTACTAGAGAAGAGTTACCGCCATCATTTCCAAAACATGTGGGTACATTTTTCATACACCTACCGTACGCTTATCAATATATTTGTACTCCGCATAATTAATAGCAAACGCCATGGCACAAGCTACAGGAATAAATATCTAACTGTTAAATTTTCGAAGTATGGGTCCATTCAAAATAGGTGATCCGAGCACTAGCTGATCCGTCGACTAAATATGGCGGAGCCCACTTCAAAAGCGATTCCGCCGATTCCCAATGGTCTCCCCGCCTCCACACGTGCCATAAAACGGATTAAATATCGACTCCGGGGCTTACTTTCTATTCCCCTGCAGCGTCGGCGCGTGTGGAGACGGGGAGACCACCATGGAATTAGAAGCATCGCTTTGTAACAGATGCTCGACGGCTCAGTTAGTAATCGTATCATCTATTCTGAATGGCCCTTATGTATGGCGCCAGAAGCGTCAGATGCACGAATTTTACAAGTTTACAACGCGCGTTATATGCTGTCTTTACATAAACAAAAGGCTAACGGTCCCGGACAACATCCCACCTGAAATATGTTTGGATTCATGTAACAAATCCCGTAGTAAAAATAAAGATCCATGAAGGAGGTACAAATTGTGACATATGACATTTAAAAAATATAAATATAAGTAGACAATGCATTTAATTCCTCACGAGAATACGACGATCTTAAAAATAGGACCTACTATGACCTCATTGAGGAAAGTTATATTTAGGTCATTGTGTATTACAAACAACGCATTGGTATTAAAAGCGGTCGTTTTGTATTTTTTTTAAATTTCCAAGTCCGTTTTTCTCAACTTCAATAAAATTTGCTCATAAGCATCAGTAGGCCTATCACCCCAAAAAGTAACCAGATGATTTTTTTTATCATAACAAAACAAAGCTATTATTTACATTTGTCATGTGACTTGATTTGCCGTCGTACCTCTATTGATTTCGCCTAAATCGGACACAGCACAAACAAATGCAAAAACAGAGCTGGATATTCGTGGCAAAGCCTGTGTATCTAAGATTTGTAACTTGAACATATACCGGTAGGCCTAGATATTCATGTGTACAAATACACAAAGTTTGGCTCTTTCTCTGGAAAAGTAATTTTGAGGGGCTACACACAAGTCTTTTCTGATTACAGTCAATTTAAGGTAAGTAAACTTTTTCAGGACAAATGCTGTACATGTATGCTTATGATATATTTTCACCTTAAGAGGCTTAATACACTTTAAGATGTAATATTGTGCGTTGTTCTTGCAAGATTTATACATGCATTTCTTATCTAGAATGCACTTCTTTTTTCACTTCCAAAAACATTGCGCCCTGTTGCTAACGCGCATTAATAAACAACCATAAGTTCAATAAGGTCACGTCTTTGTATTCCAACGTTTTGTATAACAACTTAGTATTTATAGAGTGTGTAGCCGCACAGAGTTAAGGCTATATTATTGACACATACTTTGTAAAAGAACAGCAAGAAAGCATTGTCGCACTCTACGTGCGGGGGGGGGGGGGGGGGGGAGTGAATAACGTTTGCTTATGTATGAGCAAAAATAAAACGCAAATAAATGTTTTCTTTAGGCTCAAGTCGTATAAGTTTCAAGTAGGCCTACACAGGACGTTGATATACGTTGCATACTCAGGGGGCAAGAAATACATTTAATTATGTACAATTTTTCAGCGCATATGATCGTATAGCTCATACGCTCGAGTGAGGCTTAAGCTCAAGGGCCCCGAAAATTTTCCGTGCATTGCCTAGCCTACCCTCAGCAAAACGCAAATATTGTCAGAAATAGTGATTTTAGACGGTAGATTCACTCAGAAACAAAGGCAAACTAATTCGTTGCCGATAGCACCAGCAAATGGCAGCATCATACAGAGTCTGATTAAAAACTTTCATGGCAATTGAAGAACTTTTACCACTGTACAATGGAGTCCAAAAAAGCATTTGGCACAAATGTAAAACTGCCCAGTGCAAGTCCAAGAATTCAATCGGTATTTTCAATCATATTATCAGATTCTACATAAATTGACTGACAATATCACTATTTAACTAATCTCTTAATCCAAAATTCCTGTCATCATTTAGTACATTTTGCAAAATTCTTCTTTCAGATTGCTATTTATTTTAATTTTTAATGCTGCAACTGTTCCAAAATAATCTTGTAGTAAAGGTAAAATGCAAATAAGAAGTGGAAGACCAATTTTACCCAAATTATTCATTTATTTGAATATAAAAAGAATAAGATCACGATTTAACAACTTAAAATAATATTACATCAACTCTTTCATGAATAACATATTAAACAAAAATAAAAGTTATAAATTAGTGGTAATGGCGTATTCTGGAATATATGACCTCTGCACATCATCAGTACCTGACTTGGTACAGTATAGTTACTACTTGGATACAGAGTTAGATTTAATAATGTAACAAGAACAATATATATTACAATAAACTTCTCTGCACATGTCAGACGCTTGTTACCATGGACTAACACTACTTGACGATGGGCTGCCCAAAAACTACCTAATAAAACAAATGCGTAAAGAGATGAATGTGATTTGTCATGTGCAACGTACTCCAGGACCACATGATGGGGCTGATATAGATGTTGAATCTGAGCTTATTTTTGCCATCAAATCCTATTTGGCTGACAACCCTGATACTGCATGTGGTAGTAGGCCAAGTTTCAAGGTTAAATTCTGTAGTGATGGAACCACTTTATCTAGAAATTCTAATATGTGTGTTATGAGCTTTTAAGTATTTTCACCTAGGCACCCTACTATCAGTCCAAATAGTCAATTTTGGTTCCTCGAGCACTTATCACAGAGTCTGTGTGCATTGCCATTCTTGTGCTGTGATTGGCTAGTTGAGTCACGTGAAGCCCTACTGTTGCGCCCTCGCGTATTGCGTGAATGCTGCGCATTTCTGGCCATGTAAAATTCGTGCGTCCGGTTGTGACCGAGCACGACGAAGAAAAGAAAGCCGTGTATACAGTAAGGTTAGATAAAATAATACTGGGAAAATTATAGATAATAGATCCTGTGAGTATGCTTATGTTACTACCTTTATATACCAGTATATATTGAACAAACGACAATCAATTATGTATACAGACACTGTTATCTTTGACAAGAGTTATTACTCTTAACGTGCATATTTTCGTGACATTCCCCCATTACTACCTAATAATATTTTAGTTTTACTTTAAATTTGTCGATTGTCTTTGTTTTGTTGATATAGGAAAACGCACGTCACATGACAATGACAAATTTGTGGAAACTTAAACAGCCATGCTACATATAGAATTACCATACATGCGAAAATACTATTTCGCGTTTTTTTTTCATTTCAACTTCATCCAATAGTATAAATCAAAACATGTTACATTACAACAAAGTACATTAGAAGGAGCACAGGGACACACAGAAAAATGTATCCTGCACTAATGACAGTAAAAGTCAATGCTGGTTATCCGTGT